TTGCGAAAATTTTCTTTATATTATATATAGTGACATTTATATATATATATATATATATATAGAAGATATAAGATTATATCAAGATTATAGTAAGTTTTCGTTTATATATATATATATATATAGAAGAATTTAGTTTATAAAGAAATTTTTCTTTATATTATTTCTGTTTTCATATATATATATTTCATATAATATATATAAATTATTAACTTAGAAATAGTTATTTCTAATTGATTTTAATAATTTTAATAAAATTTCTTTCATTTTTTAAAGAAATATAATATAATATATATTTTAAAGAATATATTATACTTGTTAAAATCACGATAATGGTTCATTATATCTTTGGATATTGTATTTGGTGCTATCTGCTTAAGATTTTGATTTTGAACTCTCATATGATTTCATTGTTAAGATCACAATAGTTAGTTCATTGATAGTTCATTGTATTTTTGAATACTGCATCCGTTTAAGAAAAGAATCATCCACTAAAGATTTAATTCTGACACAAAAAAATCTGACAAAGTCAGATCACAAATTTCTGATGATTTCTTGTCGAGATCATGATAATGGTTTATTGTATTTTTAAATACTGCATCAGTGTCATCTATTTAAGAGAAGGATTATCCATTAAAAATTTAATTCTGATTAATAACAGATTTCTAGTGATTTCTTGTTAATATCACGATAATGATTCATTGTATTTTTGGATACTGCATTGGCGCCATCTGCATAAAAGAAGAATCATTAATGTGGAAAAATTTGAATCTGATTACAGATTTCTAGTGATTGCAGTAATGATTCACTGCGCTATTGAATATTGTTTTAGGTATCACCTGTATATGAATGAACCTGTATATGAACCTGTATAAAAATCATTAATAAAAAAAAATAATGATTAGTTACAGATTTCTGATTTTATGGTATTGATTCAAATGATTATAATGTTTCACCATATAATTGAATTAATATAAGAAATAATTAATTTTGATTGAAAATCTGATTCTGATGTTAATTCAAGATATGTCTAGTTCACTTTATAGTTGTTTTTAAACTGCTGTTAATTCATCGTATGGTTCAAGAATGATACTGAAAATGCAAGGATGAAAATATAGTATTAATTCAATGTATGATAATAAAACTTGGATCGAATGAGAACTGATATTCTGAATAAACTAATTCTGAACTTCATATAATTATTTTTGAAATCCTTAATTTGTATGTTATTTTATCATTCATAAAAGGAAGACTTTTTTTCGTCTTCAAAGTAAAATTTCTACCTTATTTCAAAAATGTGACAAACCCATCTTTAAGTATATTCAGAATATAATGATTCTTGGAGAAAGATGACTTCAAAGAATCGATCACTTGTGTATGAAGTAACATGTGGAAAAATCTTTCAAATCAAAGATGACATTTATAATTAGCAAATAATTAGCAAATATCGAAAATATAAGAATTGGCATCAGAAATCTATATCTCGAAAGATCTTTAGAGATATGATCTGGCGACAATATATATAATAGATATAGGCAAGTTTTCTTAGAAACAAAGAAAGAAAGCAAAAAAACTTATTAAAATCAAATTTTCATATATAGAATATCATAAATTCACTCTAGTCTATATCAATATTTATACATATATTTGCCAAAAATTCGTTTGAATTAAAATAAATTTTAATTTCAGAAATTGATTGTATCATGATTCAATATAAAATTTCTTTATATGTGAATTGGATCTGAAGAAACAATATATATATTGATTTATAAAATTACTTTTATTGCAAAAATATTTTTTTATAATTAATAGAAAATATATATTGTTCGTAATAAATAAAATATTTTTTATTTTATTTATTATATTATATTATATTATTATTATATTTTTTTTAGTTGTTTTCACAATTTGTATATAATATTGATATTGTGTATATTTGTATATATAATTGTATATAATATATTGATACATTTATTGTATATAATTTACATATATATTGAAAACAATATTATATATTATATATTAGTATATTAATATTATATAACATATATTAGTACATTTATTATTATTTTTTATGCAGATATAATATTTAGATCATTTTTTGGAAAAATTGGGAAAAAAGTTTTCATTTTTTATTATAAAAATTTTTCCTCTTTCGTTATTTCAATTGCTTTTATGTCTTAATATATTTATAAAATGCAATTTTCTTATTTTTAAACATTTTTCCATATTTGCCGAATAGAATTCAATTTCTAAATTTTTTAAAAATATTTTTCTTTTTTCCTTTATGGATATATGATTTTTCCATAAAGAATATTTTTGTATTCATAAACATACATAATGATAATGACCAATATCTTATACATTTTCTCTAAGAATAATTACGAATTATCTTGTTTACAATATCTACTTTTAATAGCATTATAAAATATTATAATTTTTGAATGATTTTTTGATCTAAAAATATTGGAATTCAATGTAAGTAAGAAGAATTCAGATGAAATCTATTAATTTGATCATATATTGATAAATGATTTCGTTAGTTTTTTTTATTTTGATGTAATAAGAAAAATTTTATTTTGTAATAGTCTTTTCACTAAACTTATATCACTAAAAATGATAAACTGTAATTGATTATTCATATTGTTTCCAAAAATCAGCCAACTGCCTAATATGTTATATTTAATTTTTCTACAAAGATTTCTATTTTTTTGAACTAGGACATCTAGATTATAAACATAATAGCATCATCTATAATTTTATCACATATTTGTCAAATTTGTTCAACATATGCATTCTGAATGGATATCTTCAGAAATTTTTGATCAAATGTTCATCAATTGTATTTATATTTATGACATCATAAGATCACAATTTACTATAAAAATATCTATCGTGAATCTTAATAATACTAATTTATCCATAAGTTTTCTTTCTTTCATAATCATTATTATCAAAACGTATTATAAATCGTAAAATTTCCTTGAATCAGTCTCGTAACATCATAGCTAAATAAATTGATTATGAAAATGATATATATTTTTTCATAAATGATAAAATAGTTCTCTATACTTTTCTTAAATTTATTATTAATCAATAAAAATTCAAAAACTGCAATGATTTCAACATGATTCATGGATTTCTATTTCTTATTATATATAATAGAGTTTAAATTTCTGCTTTCTGATTTTATATATAACAATTTTGGTAAATATGAAAGGATCTATTTTTGATGACTTTGATCTATATTGTTAAAATTATCCTTCTAAGTGAGTGTGATCTAGTGATCTAATGATCTTCAAAAAATTTTAATTGTCGCTCATTGTTTGTTAAAAATTATTATAACAGTAATAATTATAATATGTATTTTATATGTACACTATATGTATAGTACAATATTATATTACATATAATATTTATATTTTTTTTTGTGACTATAACTCAAATCATATTGCTAGACTCGTTTTCTGGGAGCATATTTAAGATGTTGGTAATAATAATAATAATAATAATATGCATATTCTTGATAATATAACAGGATTTAAAATTAAAGCGAAAATGACATTTCAAATAAATAATAATATAAGATTAAAACATCATTATCATATTCATTAATTTAAGAAGAAGAAAAAATAAATAAAATAAAAAAAAATGTCATCAAAAACGATTAATCAAAAACTGCCAACTGTTGTTTATTTAATGTATGTTTATTTAATGAAGATGGCTATGAAGTATACTAAGAGTACATATTATGACTTTAGACAACAACTTTCGACAAGACATTTTCCATGTCGAAGTCCATGATGAATGTATACTTGATAAAAAAATTCAAATTTCATGAAATAAAAAGAAAAAATCTTCAAGTGCAATTTCTTATATTACTATAAGCCACACTATTTCCAAAGAAAAGCTGATGAATAATGATGATTGTCTTTCTTCTGGAAAAATGCATATTTTGCAAGAAGGTTGTAACTAAATGCATTCTTTTGAATTGTTGAAGTATTATTATTAAATTCTTTGGCTGATAGCCAATGCCAATCGATTTTCAGAAGAAATGCATATTTTGTGAAACAGACATCTTCAAAAGTAATCTCTTATCAGAAATACACTAAAGCAATATTCAGCAGAAGATTAATAAATGATCAATGTTCTGTAAAAAGTATATATTTTAAAAAATAAGTGCAGTCTCCTGAAAAGTGCATTGAACTTCCTCTATTAATAAACATTCATCTACTATCGGAACTACTACTACTATAACTATTGTTTATAAGCGAGCTTTCTAATTGAAGCTTTGCTATATCATTTTTTATTTTTCTAATAATTAAATTAAATTAGCAATATAATAACCGGCATTGTCTATATTTTTAACTACAAAAATCCAAATATCTGAAAGAGATACATCAACTTATTGCATTTTATGAATTAAATATCTTCAGTTTTTCTTTTTTTTCTTTTTTTTTTTTCCTTGAAGGAAAGAATGAATAAGGAATATTGGCAAATTATAAAGTAATCGATTGAATAATAATATACAATTATTTTTTAGAAAAGAATAAAATAACGTATCATCTCACTTTGTTATTTGATTGTGAACAGATGTAAAGATTTATGACTTCTCGCTTATACGACTTGCCACTTCTTTTCGAATTTCTTATTTTACAGGCAAATATATAAATTTAATATTTCAGGATAAAGAAATAAAAATAACGATATGCTTTTTTCGATTCAGACGATTGTTATTTTTTTTGGAAAAATATTATACATATTTATTATTTTATTTTATAATATGATATGTAAAAATTAATATGTAAAAATTAATATGTAAAAATTAAATAAAAAATTTTAGAAGAAGTATTTTTGAGATCAATATATATTATACTGTATTATTAAAAGCAATAATTTTCATTCAATTATTAATGACTAATATTGATTTTGATTGATTTTTTTTAGTTAAATATTTCTTCCGATATTATTGATTTTTATCAATTTACTTACTTTCTTTTTAGGTGAAGCATGCCTTTATAACTCGTTTCAACGAATTACGTTCAACAGTATACAGGGACTATACAATAAGTTTAGCGTATGATATGGCGCAAACTCGTGATGAGACCGCCTTTTCTGATGCTTCGGACCTTGTAGCCCGCAGGATGGGTTTCATTCCTCTTCCGCTAGGTGTCGCAATGGGAAGAGTACTTTGCACGACTATCACGCCGTCTGCCAAACCAGCCAATATAATTTTGTTGCTTCTGGCATATCTAATATTAGTGGCATTCAAGATTTTAAATAGTTTGATAATTCTTGGTAAGGCATGTGATTTCATTTCATCACATTCCACGGAGCCTGATAATGAAGTGACTTCTTTGAAACATTCTTCAACAAGTACCGATATAAAAAATCCAAATTTAGCTACAGCAATTTTTTCCAATAGTGCAATTAGTTTAAATAACGTTTGTCTCAACGAAGCTGTCTTGAAGGAGGAAATAGGTAATGAAAAACTTAATACAGAGGACAGTCAATAAACAATATCTTTTTCCTTTTTTGTTTCTTTTATGTATATATTAAGTATAGATAGATAAAAGGCACTCGAAACAAGGAATTTGAATTTAATTATACATGAAAGTAAATATTGATTCAAAACCATAAGACAAGTGATTGATTATTTCTTTTATTTTTCTTTCATCCCGAGTGTCTTCTTTCTATCTCTACAGAGTGTCCCAGGAAAGTACGAGATTTAATTTCATATAACAGAAAAAACTTAAGGAATTTAAATCCAGTGATCCAGATGGCCATAACAGATGCCTTTGCTTTATCCACCTCTATTACAAAATGGGTTTTTAAAAAAATTATGACAATTATAATATCATAATATTTCATCATATTGGAATTATTCTTCTTAATGTACGTAAGGTAAGTCGTTTGCAAAATATTTTTATAGCTTTTTGTTGTATATTGTCTAATGTATTATATGTAATCAAATACAATTAAAAATGAAAAGGAAATTTCTCAAAAGTACTAATAACATTTATTATATTATTATAATTATAAAGTTAAAATTAAAATGCATAATATTTATTATAATATTGTATTAAGTTATAATATAACTTTTTGGAAGGAAAACCATTACTTTAAATATCTTGTTTAAAGTATGAATGTAAATTTAAAAAGTCATAAAATACAAGAAAAATAATAAAATATTGTCTTATTCTAGTTACAATTTTATTTTTTTATTATTAAATCAATTCAAAGTCAAAATGAATATAACTTTTTTCATACAGAATGATATATTAAATATATTGGTTAAATTATTAGTTTTCCTGGGACATCCTGTATATATATAATTTTTAATATTGAGGTAATTTAAGAAAGAAGAATCAAAGAATAAATCAATTTTATAATATATTTTTAAAAATATATGTAAAGTGACCAATAATAGATTACAAAAAGAATATTTATTTAATTCAAATTTTAATAAAATCCTTTTGTTTAGAAAAAGTTGTAATAATTATTATTTGGTTGTAAGTATGTTAATAGTGATTGTGTGATTGTGATGTATAACATTTAATGTAATAGTATACATATGTATTCAATATTTCAATGTTTAAGACAATGATCATTTTAAAAGTAGATAGTATGTGCAATTGTATTGTGCAAAGAATTTATATTTTATTACTATTATTGTTATTGAAATGGGGAAAAAAAAGGAAAAAAAATTAAAAAGAAATGAGCAATTAAGATAATAATTATAAAGTCTGATTATTAACGAAGAAAATAATTTGATTATTTGAATAAATTAATACAATTAGATATGATTATATATCTTTAAAAAGAAAATTTAATATTCTTAAAAAATTATATTATAAACATTTTATAATTTTAATGATAGTTATTGATTATTGCTATTTATTAAAATATTAAATCCGAAATTTAATAAAAATATATTAAATCCGAAATTTTGTGGAACCAAAAATTATTGTTTAATCTAATAATTTTGTACTTAATGACATATAAAAATGTAACGAAATATGATTATTTTTTAATTAAAAAAATGAAATTTAAACGATATCTTTTTAATTCTTTTTCATTTTGAAATATTTTAATATAATTTAATATAATTATATCTTTCATATGAAAATATTTATATATTTTTTCGTTAACAATTATTCAATTATTGATCTTTGTGAAATTTTTATACAAGATAATTTATGAAAAAATACTAGACATATATTATTTCTTGTCAATCCACATCCAAATAATGAAAATCGTTTCTTAAAATTGAATATAAAAATTATATTTTTATCTTTTTTAAAAAAAAAATTGTCTATATTTTTATAAAAAAAATTAATTGTGCAAATCATTTTACAAAATAATTATTTTTTAAAATATTTAATAATTATTTATATATTACTATTTCTTGTAAAATATTAAATTTTTATATATCTTAATTTACACAAACTATAAGTCAAATTAAAAAATATAAATAATTAAAAATTTATAGTGAAATTTATTGAAACTTTAGATCTAAAAATTTATGAGGAAAAACGTGTTTGATGAATATAGAATAAGAAAAAAAAGTGGAAGAAGAAATAAAAAAGTGTTGATTTCAATGAGATAGAAGAAAAGGGAAGTACAAGAAAACAAAATTGAAATAGCAAAGAAAAAGTAAATAAAAATAATGGAAATAAAGATTTTTAAAAGAAATTAAAAAAAACAATAAGGAATAAAGAAAAAATTGTTAAAAAAGACAGAAATAGAACACTGGATAAGAAAAAAACTGAAATGTCATAATGCTGGAGATATTTGGCGGTGATCCAAATATACTAAAAACTAGTACACTAATTTGATTTAAAACAAAAACATATACATATAATATTTAATGTATGATGCAATGTATAACATAAAAAAATTCTAAATACGAAGATTTTTCAACATAGTTTATGAATTCAAGAAAGTTTAAATGAAACAAAAATGCAGGTAAGCTAAAATTAATATTAAAAAATAGTTTTAATAAAAAGTATTTAGATAATGCTATATTGTTATTTCACTTGCAATGCAATATAATAGATATATTGAACATTAAGATTTGTGCATTATAAAAAATAATTTTTTAATTCTATTTTTATAAATGTTATTTGTAAAATTTTTTATTTAAAAAAAAAACTTATTTTCTACATTATTTTCTACATAGCAAGCATATAATCTATTCAATATTATAAAATGATTTTTAAAAAAATATACTATTTGTTCATTCGGCAGTTTATGTAAATCAATGATATGAATCTAAGTAACAAATTTCTTTTTTATTTGTTGCCTATTTTTCTCATTCTAATGCATACAATAGCTAAGTAATGCATACTATATAATAGTAATGCATACAATAGCTAAGAGAGCCAAAATAAAATGCACGGCCATGTATAAACTAAATATTTTGATTTAAAAAATTCATATAGTAAAATAATTCATTTAAACTCATTTTGTGGAAAATTTCTGTTCTTAGGCATTAAAAAAAAAAAAACTTTAAAGATTTAAAATATTCAACAAAAATAGCAAAATATCTTATCATAATTCTGCGATCAATCTTTTCATTGTAAAGTCGACTTTTATCATTTATGAATATTTAATATTATGATTAAATTTCTTTTTGAACACAAATTAAATAATTTTAAGAATTTGTGATCAATCTTTTCATTATAAAATCGATTTCTATTATTTATAAATATCTGATACAATATAAGTTTCTTTTACGATATAAAGTTTCTTTTTTGAAGATTCGACGCAATAATTTTTTTTTTGAATGATAAGTATAATTAGTATAATGAGTAATAAGTTTTTTTAAATATAAACATATATAAAAATATATACTTATCATATTCATAAATAAGAACAAAAAACTGTACTATCAACATAGATTTGGTGATCGATTCTTTCCTCATAATAAAATTAAGTTTTATTATTTATAAAAATTCATTGCAATGCAATATAAATTTCTTTTTTAAACATTTGACGCAATAAATTTTTTCTTTGAATATAAAAACTTGTATAACTTTAAAAACTTGTGATACTTAAAAGCAGCAGAAACTGTCCCATCAATATAGGATAGTCTTTGATCAATCTTTTTATTATAAAATCAACACTTTTATCATTTACAAACATACGACGTAATATAATTTTCTTCGTTGAACATAAATCAAGAGATTTATCTTAGAGATAACTTATCATCCATGATATATTGACATTATTGTTCCATATTCGTTGTCACATTAATACACGAAAGACATTTATTAAAATATTGGTTTTTCTTCGTATTTTATATAATATCAAATGATGTAAAAAATTTTTCTTTGTGATTGAATGCTACAAAATTGATGAAAAATAAAGTAAAAATATTATTGATTCTTATTAAATTAGACGTTGCTTCATTTATAGATATTATGCTATATATGTTATATAATTAATTTTTTATTGAAATTGGATTTCTTTTAAGACAGAGATAACCATTATCTTTTATGTTTAAAATTTTTTTGAAATCTTTGCATTAAATTGATTTTTTTTAGACTTGTGCCATTATGTTACCAGTAATATAAATAGATTTAATATCTTTATAATAAACAATTTTAATGTAATAATAATAAATTCAAAGAATTATACTAAAAACGAGTTTTCATTTTTTCATATATGTGGCATATTTTAAATTTATAAGATATAGTAATTTTTATATGTGTTAAAAGAATATATATAATATAAACATACAAAATATGCCTATTATCAGTATCAAAGTATCAATTTTTTCATTTTTTATATTTTAAATTTTTGCATTTCAATAAAAAATATTCAAAATATCAATGTGAAAAAAATAATCTCTGTTCCATAAATATTAGATATTTAAATTAAACTTAAGATACGATTTTTTGCTTTTCTCTATGATTTTCTAATTCATTGGAATTAGAATGAAAAAAAAATATTGAAATTAAAATATAAAATTTTTAAACTTTGAGAAACTCGATATGTTAATATTATTTGTAATTATTTTTAAAACAAAGAAAATAAAATTTTCGAGATTTTCCAATATCCAATTTTGATTTCATTTGCTTAATCTTTGTTAATCACTTATCACTTATGTGTATTTATTCGCCAACAATGTATATGATCTTCTTGAATGTAAAATATCATAATGTATTACTAATTCGTGATGAGACATTCGGCTAAATTTTACATATCATTCAAAAGAATAAAATAATAAACTTCCAAGCAACAAGTACTTTTAAAAGGATTTTTTACAAGAATCTTCTCAATTTGGCCATTAAATTTGCTAAATTTGAAAAACGAATTTAAAAAAATTAGAATGAGAACTCGAAAGGAATTAGTTATGTCAAAGCATGTGTCATCCAGGAAATACTTCACAAAAATGTCGGCCTAGATTTTATGTATCTATAATCGTACGTATATCCTATTTATTCATAAAATTATTCTTCAGAATTAAAGTTAAAGTAATAAAAATCTAAACAGGATTAAGTTATTTATTGGTAATTATATTATATAATTTTTAAAAATTATTAATTAATTAAATAATTTCATTCATATTTAAAATATAATAAATAATGTTTTTTTGTGATTTTACCATAGAATATAAAATAATTTCTATGATGTATATAAAATTTATCCCACATCTTATAAATTCTATATATGTACCAAGAGCAATAAAGAAATAAATTATTATAATGGCATATATATATATATTATAAACTCGAAATAAATTATTTTTTAATGGCAGTTATATTTTCGTTGATTAAGTTTAGTTGATGTTTAAAATATAATACATAATATTTTTTTCTTGCATTCTTTTTTCCTTTTATCATGCAAAATAATAATAAACATGCAATAAAAAATTTCAATGTATCAAGAGCAATAGAGAATCGAAAAATCAGATTAAATTATTTATTAATCCAGTTAATTAAGTTATTTATTAATCCAATTAATTTATTAATTAGATTTGGTTTATATTTAAAATAGAATAAATAGTATTCTTATTATTCTTATTATTTTGTTCTATCATGTAAAATAAATAAATTAAAATCATAATGTGTGATCGTAATCAATAAATTCGTTGGCTATTTTAATAGACAAATGCAAATAAACAAAACTTATAAATGAATGCTTATATGTTTATTTTTCAACTCAAAATCAAAAGATTTTAATGTTTTGAAAAAACAATTGTTTCACTATCATCTCAACTACTATCAAAATTTGCGACATCGACTTTCAATCTTATAAGTTTTGTAATGTATTTTTTAAGATTATTTTTGATTTGAATTTTTATAATTATTTAGTTCACTGTTGATTTATTCTAAATATCATCTCATAAGAGCATATTCTCAATATCAAAATATTCTCAATATCTCACAATGAAATCATTATTAGTTCTGTAAACTAATAATGAACAAACTATCTAAACATTAAAACGACATATCTCATTATGTGTCTTTATTCCTCTCTTTTTAATGTAGATATTTTTTCTTAGTATGCTATTATTTCATTTTTTGATACATATTTTCATATGTGAATTCGATGGCTCTAAAATATTTAATTATAGTTTCAGAATAAAGGCTTGATTTTCAATTTACTTTTTGATTCCTATATTTTATTTTTTATCTCAATTTGAAAAAAACTTACAATTGATATTTTTCAATAAAATAACCAAAATAT